CCTGTTTTGTATCGTGCTCCGTACAGTATATTAGATGGGGGCAGCTATAGTGAAGTACCGTATGTGTAAAATACTTTTGCCAGAAGGAATGTGTACATGAGTCTCTTTTATGTCATTGCATGTAGCTATAGCGCTTATTCTGACCTGGTGGAACTTTTGGTTCTATTTTTAGTAATCACCCCCTCTTTTGTACCCGAGGGGCGTTCTATATGCATGAGACCAGCAATTTAGTGTTATGTTTATGATCAATAGTATTGTTATTATGATTAATGTCGTCTGTTTGTTGATAATGATATAATTATATATACAGTACATATTATTTGTATTATTTTTTTACATTTTCATGGTATGGCAGGCAGTTTTTAATTTTATTTTGGATTTACCTTGTGAAACAAGATGCAAATGAAGGCAAAAAAATCTGGAAATAAATTATAATCTTTTTTTTTCTAGTCTCTTGCGTATTCATGCGTGTTCCCCACCACCACCTCCTCCCCATACATTCAGACTATTTCCCCTGTCTTTGTTTTATACAAGTCACTCATGCACAAAGCATATCAAATTCCTCACCCCCACCACCCCCTCTGTCTCCCTCTCTCTCCCTCTTTCTCTCCATTGGTCTCTCCCTCCCTCTCTTGGCGAGTGTAGCTAATGGGAGACACATGGGATGAGTGTGAGATATGGGAGATGAGTTGCTCCAGTGAACACCAGCCACCCTGTAGAGCGAGCATTCCTTGCTGCACTGTAAAAATGAGAAGAAAAAAAATCTATATAAAGAGAATGAAAAGGAGAGAGAGAGAAAGCAGGAGCGGTGAGAGTGTGATTTACGGACGCTGCTGAGGGCTCAGGGTTCTGTGTGTTCTCACCGTGTCCAGCTGCAGGAATCTCCTTCAAACCGACACGGATCAGTGAATACGACCCTCGCGTTGAAAGACAGATTCACTGCTGGCTCTCAGATTTGGGGGATTCCTGTAGATGTGGATGAACAAACTTTATTTTTTGTAATGACACTCTCCTTCCATTTATATTTCCTCACAAGATCCCCCTCGGTATCTCAAGCCTGCATCTCTTTCCTTTTAATACAAAAAAACCCTCCTCATCCAGATGTGACGTTGATTAATGGCCGTATCTGTAACAACCATCGCAGACAGGATAGTGATATTGGATGTGAAGCACGCCACAGTGTGTGAAATATAGACTGTGCAGGGCCATGCTTGTGGGTTGCTATGCGGGTTGGGTGTCATTAAAAGTCACCTTGAGTAAGTATGTCAACATAATGTAAAGTATCATCCAGCAGGACAAATCTGATTTTCCCCGCCAGTGACATCACATCTGGGTGATATTCTTAGCACTTCATCAGTCCTCTCTCAGGGTGGACGAGGACGTTATGAAAGATGAAGGACTTTATTATGAACGTGTAGGCCTGGTATTATTATTCCCACAGCTCCACAGATTTTTATTTTTTGGGGGGGGGTTGATGAAAATAAAAGTTATTATCTGCAAATAAGTCTTTCATATTGACCTACTTTCTGTTATCAGATATAAATGCTTTAGTGCATTAGATTCATGAACAGTGTCAGGTAACATTTAAATCATAATTTATAAGTAGATCTGTGTTTTACTGTCAGTAATAAAAAGACAAGAGGAACTAGAATTGTTTGTTTGAAGGATTATGCAAAAACTAAACGGATTACTACGAAACTTGCTGGAAGCAAGAACCAATTAAATTTCGGAGCAGATCCAGATCTGAGGCCAGAATCTAAGGTTTTCCCTTCCACTTCCTTTATTATTATGAGATGCAGCGTTTTCAACATTTGTGTTGATTCCTCAGAGAATAATTATTTGTTTGCAGTTTGGTGCAGATCCAAATAAAAATCTGGATCTAGTGAATTTAAACTTGGTTTCATAAGGGGGCTGCTGGGCCTAGGCGGAGTATTCCACTTCACTGCTACACTCCCATGAGGCCTGTAGATCATCTCCAGTTTTACTGTTACAATCTCACGTCGGAGCTTCTTTCATAGACACAGATTACTTTTACATCACCATAGTTCTGAGGTGGAGTATTTCCTCGTTGGAGCTTTACGAAGGGGAACTCTGCTCTGCTTCAACATGTCATTCAGCTGCAGGAGGCCCATCCAGGCCCTCAGTGGCAGCAACAGGTAATCTGCAGAGTGGCACATGTGCACGCCTGAGAGCTGAGTTTTCACCTTTTTCACCTGCCCTCACCCAGACGATCAATCTCCTCTGACCTCTGGCTCTCTCCTTTCCAACCAGGAGGAGAGAATCCCAGAGGATCCTCTTGACACGTCGCTGAGCATCTTTAAGTGGATGTGGACGACATGTGGGCTGAGCGGAGCAGAAGCCTGACCTTCCACCAGGCTACACACCAGGGTCAGTGCTGCTCACAGTTTGACTCAACAACCAGGATTATGGTTGAAACTGGTCTGAGGGATTTCACCCTCAACTATCATTACGTTATGTGAGTTTGTATATCACATTCAAACCAATCTATTATCCGATAAACAAAATGGAAACAGGGTTGGCTGTTGCTCAGGAGGTAGATCGAGGCGTCCTCTCACCAGAAGGCCGGCAGTTTGATCCCAGTCTTTCCCGTTCCACATGCAGAAATGTCCTCTGGCAAGAAACTGGACCCCAAATTGCCCCTGACAGCTGTGCCAACAGTGTGTGAGTGAAACTGTACTGCAGGACTAGAAAAGCACCGTGTGTATTAAGACCAATCCAGAGGTGGTGTGGGTTGAAAACATCCAGTCACTGAGGGTCCTGCTCACTTCGTAAACCTTCCTGGTCAGCACAGAGATGATATTGTCATGATACAGTAATGTAGTGACAAACCAAATGACACAAATTCAAGCCATCTTCCTTTATTTTAAATAACGCCAGGATTTTAGTTTGCAAACATTTGTAATTCTTGTTTCCACAGATACCTGAAACACTGTGTATCCATTTAATGAGAACAAAGAGCGGCCGTGAGCCACTGAGTTAATGGGAAGCACATTACTCTCTTTGGAGAATTTCAAACCTTCAGTGTCGTTCAAACAAACACAGAGAAGGTGCAGTGTCATTTGTAAAGTGACATTGTGTCTCTACGAACCATTGAGTGGTCAGAGCACCACTGCTTTACTTCAGTTTACACACATGATGTGGAGCTGAGCCCCAGCACATTATTCAGTATTATTCTAATCCACACTTTGGACTTCAAAGAGATATTGTGTGGCGTATTTAATTGTCTGCTGTGCACACTTGACAGAAGTGTTGTACTGCACGGAGCACCTGCATGTACACGAGTGCTCTCAGAGAATCTCTCCAGTGAGTGAGAGCAGCCGGAAACAATAACACAGTTCAACAAGATGTTCCACGGAGTTACGAGGAGCGAATCAAGTGTAGGATCCAGACACTTAGCTCAGTCGTTATCAGGAAGTCAAGTAAATGACAAAACATGTTGTGTACTGTATGATTAATAACACAAACATTCAGCTGTACGCACACAGCTTCGCCTGAGCTACAAATCTCTTCCCAGCCCTGAATATAAAGTAACGCTTCAGAATGGCAGCACATAGAGAGGGCAGCAGGGGGAAACCCTGTCTTATTCCAACGCTGAGGAAGGAGGAGGACGAAGTGTGTGACCAAAAGTATGTGGACACCTGCACCAAGTTCTTGTTGGAAGTCTCAGTCCAAAATCCTGGGCATTCATTTGCTTCTACTCTTGTACTTTCACATTTAGGTACAAGTGTACATCAGATTGTCAGATGTTTATGTAGCTGTGCACTCACTGCACTTTACAGTACAGTTTTGCCATTCACCCATTCACTCACACACTAATACAATTAATCCATGTGCAGCACTTGTTCAGTGTCTTCCCCAAGGACACTTCAGTGGGATGGAGGAGCTTGGGATCAAACCACCGACCATCTGGTCAGTGGACGAGCCACAGCCGTTCATCTCAAAGACATCGGGGGATAAGACCTGACTCACTTTCCCTGTTCATCTCAAAGATGTTGATGAAGTTCAGGTGAGGGCTTCGTCAGGTTCTTCTACACCATGACACTATCTGTTAAAGGATGGGGGACATGTCCCACTGAGCTCAGCACTAGAAACATGAAGCAGCTAAATATAAGTGAGTTGTCATTAATGAGCCTGTACCACGAACACAAAATATCTTCTGGTCTCAGAGACGTCCACATACATTTGGCCTTTGCTCTGTAAACTACAGTCAAGAGCCCTTCATGTTTGGAGGAAAATATGAAGTTATAGGCCTTACCTGTGCCCAACATGCCCATGAGTTGGAGTTTCTGAAAATGAGTTTCTGACACTTTTCATACAAACATAATGTAGCAAAAGGTGCTTTACTTTATCCACCTCTTCTAGGTTTAAAAAACAAAAACTCTCTGTAGCAAAGACAATAAAAAAAGTGAAATGTAAAATTTGGAGTGGGAGCTCCAAGTGTTGGAGCGTCCTGGTGAAGAAACTGGGTACGATACTTTCTGATGATGTGGAAATTATTTTTTCAGACAAAATCAAACTTGGGGGTAAATAAGAACGGAACAAATTTGTAAACGCTATTCACATCTCCTCACTCACAGAAGACAGAAATGAACTCTTCTCACAAGAGAAATAAATAATTCCACATACCATTTAAATATTTAATTCTAAATTAGATTTTTAATTTTAAATAATCTGTGGTGGTGTCCTGGATATCTCCTTTAGATGGAAGCTGCTCTTTCTTTTAATACACCGTTCTTGTTACTATTCAGATGAAGGAATACGTATTAATGTGGTGACAGCATCTCTTTCATATTCTGTTTTATTTCCAGGCTGAAGCTGCTGCAGCTCAGTACATTGGACACTATGACGTGAACACTGCCTAATTCTGATTGATGAGAAATTATGAATGAAATTCTGTTACTGCCACCTACTGGTGAAAAGTGCAACTCCCTCGTCCTTATATCCTCGCAGTAGGAAGCAGAATACAATAAGACAACTACTAAAGTAGCAATACTTTATTTATTATAAATTGACCATTATTTGAAAAGACATCATATAAGAGAGTACACTCAATTTATTCACATATAATTTAATAGTTACAAGCTCAAGGCTTCGTAAGGTCCATGCACATTTAACAACATAATTCACAACCTAACATAGAAAACAGACATTTCATTCTTTCTTTGCATCTATTGGGAGTTTTAGAATTAAATGGTGAATGAGTGATGTACAGTAACAGCGTATCTAATCTGTTGGACAAGTGTGGTTTCTTTGTCCAGCCTCACAGTGTCATACAGGCACATTATCCCTCTTGTGGACGCTCCTCGTGTGTCTGCCCAGAGACTCCATCCATTTGAAGGATTTACCGCAGAAGTTACACACGAACTGTTTCCCCTCGGTGTGGATGGTCTGGTGTCTGTTCAGGGCGCTCGTCGTGATAAAGGTCTTCCTGCATATTTCACATCTGTACGGCCTCTCGCCTGTGTGGGTCCTGATGTGAGCTGCCAGGTGGGAGCAGTTGCTGAAGCGTTTCTCACACACAGAGCAGCAGTAGGGTTTATCTTTGCTCTCGTCACCGCTGCCATTGTTGTGGAGGTGGTGGTGGAGGTGGAGGTGATGGTAGGGGTGGAAGGGTAAGGCGTGGTCCTGCAGGCCGGCTTTGAGGCTGGCGGGGGACGAGATGAAATCTTTAATGTCTGTCTCCAGGCCGTCCAGCTGCTCTTCGTCGTGGGTTATCCAGAAATCTCTGTGGCTCCTGTGCTGCTCCTTCTTCACCTGCGAGGGCTCTGGGTGCACATGCTCCGGGCTGCGGCCCTCATCCTCCCCGCAGGGCTGGGCCTCAGGGGCCTCGTCTGCAGGGGATGACTGATGGTGCTGCTCAGGAGGAGGAGGAGGAGTTGGAGGATGGTGGTGAGGGTTGTGCTGCTGGGCTGAGAGACATCTGTCCACCTCAGGCTCTGAGGGGAGAAAAACACACAGAACCACATCACAACCATGCATTCTAACACAGAACCGAAAGGAAAACGTGCATGAGGTGTGATTACAATCCAGTGAAAACCAACCTGACTTGAGAAGCTTCAGCTGCATCCTCAGTCGACTGATCTCCAGATCTTTAGACCGAGAAATCTCCTCTTTGTACTCGAATATTGTTTTTTCCACGGCTCCGAATATCTCGTCCGCCGCCGCCGCCAGCCTCTCGCTGAGGAAAACTTTCAGGGACATCATCAGGGACATTTTCAGAGGAAATTCAGCTTTTATATGCGCGTCGGGACGTGATCGTGCGAGTCCGCGAACGTCACGCTTCGCTTGTAAACACGGACATGGGACCGAGACACGGTGAGAGGTTCGGAGCCGGGGACCCACCGCCCCCTACTGGACCGGAGGCGAAAGGGCAGAATTGGAAATATTTATTGATCACCGGAAATTATGTTTTTATACAATTACAGACCAAGAATATAAGAAGAATGTGTAGAATACATAGAAATATAAGGTATACACAAGAAGAATGCAAGAAAATAAAGATGTGTAAAATATATGCATTACACTACTAAATATCTATCTATCTATCTATCCATGCAGATTATTCAAAAGTATAAAAACAAAACAAAAATCCACACTTTTCTTGTGGTTTCATCCACGAATGCGGCCCTGGAGAAGGATAACAAGGGACATTTAGACTAAACACTTTGTGTACATGACATCATGAGTAGATAGTGAGTGAATTTTCATTTTTGGGCAAACTATCCCTTTAATGTTTATCAAGAGTATGTTTATTTAATACCCAATTAGAAAATAATAATCATGGAATCAAATCTGGTGTTTCAGGTTGGAGGTTAACATCTCTGCTTTGCTTCGACCTGTTGCATGTCAACCCCACGAAAACACAGTGAGTAGATATATGCGTCCCAGACCCCCCCCCCCCTCGTACATGGTCAGAAACACGCTTAGATGAAAACACATACAGATTAAAATTACCTCTGTGTTTTGGCTGTTATTTTACAGTCTAGTGCACATTACTGTCTGTACAGGTGTACAATTGGAAAAGGATGCAGAATTCTCCCCTGACACATGAATCATATGACGGCTTTGTGTCTGTTTTAGTTCAGTGCCGGGATAAAAATAGCAGTGAAATGTGTCTCTGCATGGCATTGTCTTGTAATGAGATACTCTCTCTGCCATCCTGAGAATACCACTGGGATTACTTATCGTGTCTGTACGAACACACAACCTGAAGAGCAGGTTATGAAATCACCTGTTACATGTGAAAGAATATATTCTGTGAAATATAAGGAATATGTAAAAGGGGTCATAGGACACAGTAGGAGAAAAACAAGACAACACACTAAAACAGTCTCTAAACAGTTTATTATAATGTTTCCTTACAGCCATCCCACCCTCAAACCCATCGGCCATGACACAATATGATTACATGTAATGGACACCTCCCTCTTGGCGAAACAGCCAATGAGAGTGGATCATGCACGTCTACAGGGAGGTAAAAGCCACAGAAGAACATCATAATTACACAAAAGAGACGCAACTAATTTTAAGACAAAAATAAATCTGATTGACAAGAGCTGTTTACACTGTTTACACAAAAGAAGTTGGTAAACTTTTCAAGTAAAGGCGTGGAACTCTCGCCCACCTCAAGGTGCAAGTGACAGTCTTTACAGCTTGAACACTTGGTGTGGAAGTTAGTAAGCACACAGGCTATTCTCAGTGGACTTAACTCATTTCAGTGCAGTACAGTGTATGTGTTAACCTGTCCCTTTTCTCCAGGACAAGATTTACCCAAACAAGATAAAAACAAAGGGAGGGAATGACACTGTTACACAGAATACTTTGAATGAAAAGGGGAACATGACTAAGTGCTGAGAGTGAGGGATGATGGAACTGGATCATCTTAATGGAGCTGGCCTCTGGAGCTTCCCGGGTTCTTATGCCTTTGCGTTGATGATTTCAATAATTTCAGGCTTGAGGGAGGCTCCGCCAACGAGGAAACCGTCAACGTCCTTTTGGGAGGCAAGTTCTTTGCAGGTACCACCGGTCACAGAACCTGAGAAAAGAGCACAACCTCGTGAGAAGACAGAAAATCAAAAAGGTTGACATGATTATTTTCATCTCGGTGCTCTGACTGACCTCCATAGATGATCCTCACAGAGTTGGCTACAGCCTCAGAAACATGAGTCTTCAGCCAATCCCTCAGTTTGTGATGAACCTCCTGAGCCTGAGGGAACAGACACATTATGATTGGATCTGGGAAAAGAGACGGCAATAATCTAAAATGAAATATTTAGTGGTTTCTAATATTTACCTGCTGTGGGGAGGCAGTCTTGCCGGTGCCGATGGCCCACACTGGCTCGTAAGCAAGCACGACCTTGCTCCAGTCCTTTACATTGTCTGTGAAAGAGACGTGTGATAAGACAAGTTTTAGGATTTCCAACACGCTCCAGCTTGTACAAATTCCCCCTGAAACATGTGTTGCAACATTCACATAATCTCCCGTGCATATGAAACTCTACGGTGGGGCTGTCAGGAGTCATTTACCTGCGATGACCTTGGTCTGAGCAAAGACGACTTTCTCGGTGATGCCGCCCTCACGTTCGTCGAGCTTCTCTCCAATGCAGGCGATCACACCGAGTCCACTCTCCAGAGCGTGGGCCGTCTTCTGACCAATGAGCTGACGCAACAAAGGATGCAATGAGGATTCTTTGGTCAAACTTACTCATGTAAGGATTCAACTCTCACATTTTAGCAACTGCTGTCTCTTAAAGATAATTCACGATGAACCGACAATATAAAATCATCCAGAATTACCTCATCACTCTCTCCGAACACGTGGCGCCTCTCGGAGTGTCCCAGGATCACCCATTCCACGCCACAGTCCTTGATCATCGCAGGGCTGAAGATAAATGATATTAATTGTACAATAAAAAACACATAATAATCTAATCTACTCCATCTAAGGACAAGATTTAGATTTTTATGATATCATTGAATAAACTGGAGTGACTGTGGAGCTACTTTTTCACTCAACTACCTATAAGTTGTTTTCATTCATCCATCTTTATTTTCCTCCATTGGAAACGTGACATACCTGGTCTCCCCAGTGAAGGCACCCTTGGCAACTTTGTAGCAGTTCTGAGCTGCTACGCCAAACTTGGCATCCAGCTTGGACCTGGCGAAGTCCAGGTAGATGGTTGGAGCGCCGCACACCACGTCTATTAACACAGAAGAACAGAGCAAAGCTTCAGTCAGATTTTATGAGACATATTTGACCAGCTTCCTTCACATCAATGAACAGTTTGAAATGTGCTTTTAATGCATTAGAAGATATTAACGGTAGAATTCAGAGTAGCCAGTGGCTATCAATGTGTGATGGCTGAATGGAATTCATTTCTTATCTTTTACTTCTCAGAAATGTAAACTCTATGTCAAGGAAAACACAAACATTGTTTTTGGATGTCTAATATCCATAGATGTGAAAGAACATGTTCAGCTGGTGAATGATATCCAAAGGTTGGTGGGTTTCCAGGCCTTGCTTAAAGACACTTCAGCAGGATAACCGATCAGTTAAACCACTGGGCAACTGGCCGAGTTACATACATGTCTACATACCCAGCGCTACAACAGCGTGTAGATTTAAGAGAATAATTCAGTCCAAACTTTCCACTTCTGATATTTACAGGGAGAATTGGTAATCGACCTGAATGCTGAGGGTCAAACATGAACAAGGTTGGAAACAAAGGACGGGAAACAGGTATCGATCCCAAACTGACAGCTCGCTAACTGTTACAGGCTTCTTAACATCGGTAACAGATGATGCAGCATCATTGTAATCACAACACAAAACAACCAAATAGGTCATTAAACAACTGACACATAGGAAACTCAGGCTGTAGCTCTTGAAAATGGATTCATATTGCACTGTGTGTGAATACAGTGGGCACACTGTATGTGCAAATATAATTTTATCAAAGTCAACACCACTACAGTTTGCAGGGGTCAAGCACAAAACAGCAAAGTTAAGACACTGACATTCACAATGTAACCATATCTTTGGGGTTAGGGGAGTCTATATTAAACACCCCTCGTTATTATTGGTATAGTAAAGGTCATCCCCCCCCTCGGCCACACTCAGACCCCTCTGCATAAAAGGTCCGAGTTCAGCCTCTAAAAGGTCACCTACATGGCTGCATTCTACAGAAGTCAAGCAAAAGTCATGAGCTGGACTCAAGGCAGCTAGTAATAGAGTTTTAATACTCTCCATGTGAACTCTGACTTTAAAGCTCAGGGGGGGATCCTGCTTTGGTTTTAGCCAGACACTGCTCAGGGGGTGGATTCATGAACGGAGCAAGGTCCAAGGCTAGGCCGAGCAGAATGACAGTTTGCTTGTGTGCAGCTCGGGCCTGTGGAGGGCATATGCACAACACTGGAGTTGCATAACACCAATTTGCAGGAGAAGCACAACTGGTCTGATGACAAAGTGAACGTCTCCCTGCGCGTGCACAGCATCATGCAATGGAAAAAAACCCAGAAGTGTGTTAAAACAGCTGCAGGATCGTGTGTGTGTGTGTGTGTGTGTGTGTGTGTGTGTGTGTGTGTGTGTGTGTGNGTGTGTGTGTGTGTGTGTGTCCAGGCTGCAGGAAGCAGACAGCAACAGGGTAAATGTCGGCTGCTGCATTCAAGTGGCGTCGGATAAATGGAAGAGGAGGGGACTATATGTGAAAACCTGTGTTTAAAACCACTGTGGCTGTTGGGTTTTACTGCCTCAATTATTTTAATAGACTGTCTCCACATTATGATTAAAACCACTGACATCAGGCCCACCTCAGCTTCGTGTAGCAGCAGTGTGCAGATGGATGAGCGGACCCCTGAACGCAGCCTGGTTGGTCTACGTGCAGCTGAAAACGCAGCTTCACCAGCGACATTAGCGAAAAAACGCATCATCCGTATTCACGAATTCCTGCGTATCTGTGGTTTAGTGTCACTTCACAATGGCTGCAGCTTTAAAGGACGGTTCGTGGAGGAGGTGGATGCTAACTGTGTCATTGGCGTTTTGAATGTCAGCCCAGTGAAAGAGGCTAAAGGAAGCTAACGCATGCACAAGTGCGATATTGATAAATCAGTAAACAGGAGGTTTTCAGTCATCGGGGTATTTTCTGGATCCACGTACCGACATTGGGGTCCACCTTGGCTCCGTTCATGGTCTGGATCAGCTCCCCCAGGCTCTTCTTGTCGCCGTTCATCTTCCAGTTTCCACCGACGAAGAACTTCCTGGTCATGTTTGCGGGTGTTTTTCAAAAAAACAGCTGGAGAATTAAAAACGGTACCGACAGTTCACCGGGCGATGCTTCTTCTGGTGGGGAGAAAAGCGGACGTGAGAGAGCAGCTGAGGGTTTTTATGAACTCGGAGAATCTGACCCCTCCTCTCATTCAGCTCCATTGGCTCGTGGCGGAACGCCCGTGAACGCATCTCCCCATTTGAGGAAGAAATGTCGTGCTGCGTTCAAAGACACTTGAGGCCGATGAGTACCATGGATGTACACTGGCACACATTTATATTTTCTTTTGAGACAAGATTAGATGCGATAGGATAAATTGAGCTCAGTTAAGATTAGATGAAATGTACATTTATTGATCCTCCAAAGAGGAAATTCACAGTCGACACAGCAGCACAAGGAAGTAGCAGAGAGTAAAAATACAAATGGAAATAGAAATACTACATACAATTAAATAATATTAAAATAGGGATCAAAGTTGTGTCATTTTGAAAGGTCTCCACCACATAAAATTCAATAAAAAAAGTCACAAATTGAAAGTAAAAGGGATTTCAGAAGAGCAGATATCACCATCGAGACCCAACAGACCCTTTATGAAACCACATTTGAATTCACTAGATCCAGATTTTTGTTTGGATCTGCACACACTCATAACTATCACCCCCCTAAACATGCGTGAATTCTTTAATCAAGATCTAAGAATCTAAAAATCTGAGGAATTTTGGGTCATGTATAAAACACTTTGGTTTGTATCTACAATATCATACAATCTGAGTAGCTTTTAATGGAAATAAACAAGAATTTAATACAAAACTTATGTGAAACCTAGTGTTTCAGACTGCATGGTGATCCAGTACACCTGACCCACTTATAAGCAGCACTGTGCAAATACTTTAGACTCTAAAAGTAAAGTAAATAATTCCATGAATAGTTTTTCATCAGTTAACTTCATAGAAATGCTGTAAGTAAAACAAAAACGTAATCTAACAGCAGCAGTTTTTTTAGGTGAACTTGTACAAGATTATTCATGAGGAGGTTATTACAATCATTTTGGAGAACTTGCCACAGCTCTTCAATCAATGTCAAACCGAAATCTGGCTAAAGCTCATCGGTATTATTGTGTTTATTTGATGTGAAAAACTTTTCTATCTGTTTACCTTTGAACAATAGATCTACAAAATATGTACTACTCTTTATTATTTGTCACTTTGTTGTAAACTGTTTGGCCCTTGACTTTTTTTCCAGTGATCTGATTGGTCATTAAATTCTGCGTAATCCTTTTGACACAAAAACAGACACCAGTGAAAACAGAACCTTCTCTGTGAAGGTCAGAAGAACAGATATATTGTGCAATTCATTCATCGTTGACTGATCTCGAATTGAATCAATGACTTTCTCTGTAATCAAATAAAACTAAGCTATGTCCGTTTGAATCTGAACATTTTACCTTACGTTCATTTCTCAAATTGCACTACTGACACCAACAATACAAAAATATTTGAACACATTTATCGGTTAATGTCGAGTTCACCCAATATGTCTGTGACCTGTATCTGAGGCCGAGTCTGATTGGCTGAGGCGGCAGAAGCCCTGCCCCTCTTCGTTCCGTCTGAATGAGTAAGGAGGCCTCTGATTGGATGATATCCAGTCTTGTTTTGCATACCCTACATGCACTGGGAAAGAAAATATATTGTTTTAAGGTTATAAAGCTGATTTGCAAAGATTTTAGACTCACGTTCTTCATTCATTTACATTGTTGTTTTGTTTCTCTTGCTTCCCTTCATTCCACATTTAGACACTTTGTGACACCATAACAATAATGAAGGTAGTGACAGTACTGTGCTGCAGGGCTGACTGATGTCCACTAGGATTATTTGCTCTTTAGCTATTTTTCTAGAAGGCTTTTCTTAAAGAAAAGCCCCTTTACTCATGTGAACGATAAATCATCAAAATATTCTACAGGGCCAGACTTCTGCAACTAACTTGAAGTTTGTACATGTAAAGTACCTGACCATTCTCTAAAATGAAATCTAGTAATTCAATTCTACATGTTAGTCCCTGATTTGGTGTCAAGTATATTATCAGGACTTTTGCAGAAGGTTTAGGTAACTGCTGCAGATTCAGACAAGATAGTTCTTTTATTATTAGTCCTAAACAATGATTCTACACAACTGTTTTTAATGATTATAGGCTGATAGACGGTTTATGTGTAAAATCCATAGACTGTATATAAAGGTAAAATCACACCTTGCAACAAGGTAAGAATCAACAATAGTTAACAAATTAATGCTGTGGTGTGGAAAGTTGGGAATGTGGTGATGATGTGAAGTCACAGTTCAGGGAATAAAGTGTCACATATTTTTTAAATAATTTGTCTGCATGTTTCTGTAAGTTCAAATGATTTCCATTATATATACTTTTTTGACTAATTGTTTATATGTGTAAAATATATTTTCAACGTTAAGAATAGACAGGAGCACAACAGACTGATGAGTCGAGGGAATAAATAGGAATGTCAAATAAATGTGAAGTTAGAAAGGTAGTTACAGTAATTGTTGATTCTTTTATTTAATTTAGGGTGAATTTAGGATGCCACTTGAATGAAAAATGTATTTTGTCACAAACGATATATTGTACTAATGTAAGTAAACTATTTTTTTACATGCACACAATCGACTTTAATGTTGGTCATATTTATTAAGTTTTTAATTTTAACGACACAAAAGTTTATAATGGAAACTGCAAAAGCAAAGAATTCAAATGTTCGTGGAGGGGCAGTAACGAACTGTTATACCTGCATGTCACCATACGGGGGCAATCTCCCACCACGCGGTCATGTGTGTGTGCGTCTGTCTGCCTCAGACACTGGAGGGTTGATGGTTGAACCTCTGGTGCAACACACTGGTTGCGTTACTGCTGAGTCATGTCAGCCCATATGTGCAGCATGCAGGGAAACACTTGAAAAAGTTTTCAAGTGATACGTTTTCACACTTAATAATGAATGACACACTTTAACTTTGCAGGGGTTTGAACCGCAGTGTGTGTGTGTGTGTGTGTGTGTGTGTGTGTGTGTGTGTGTGTGTGTGTGTGTGTGTTCGTTTTTGTTGCCTTTTTGGAAGCTTTTCTATTATAAACACAGTCAGGATCAATAAACTTCATGGAATGTAAACATTAAATAAGACAAAACTGAATTCCTGAGCTTCTGGTGGAGGTTAGCAATAAGTTCGTCAAGGTTAAGTTAAGCATGAATCATGGTTAAAGGTAGAGTTGAGGTTATGTAAAGAATGAATGGAAGTAAATGCAAACAAGGATACGTGTGTGTATGTGAGAGAGAGAGAGAGAGAGAGAGGGAGAGAGAGAGAGAGAGAGAGAAAAGGCGTGCGCGTGCGTGCCCGTGAGTCAGTAGAGTTCACTAAACCGTCGCGAGGAGACGTTTCCGCCCACAAGAAAGATGGCGGCTCCCTTGATGGAGAAGCTGGCGGAGTCCTTAGGTTCCCCGGAGCCAGCGGTTCGACTCATTTTATCTATTTTAATCGGTGAGTGTCTCCTCCCTGGGATCGGTTATGATGTTGGGCAGCCGAGGTGACTCCCGGCCGGGTCACCGGTACCACAGCTCCCGCTGCCGAGCGCAACTGTCACCGCTAACATGACGCTCAGTCAGGTACCGACTGAGAGATGTAGCATCAGGCTGAAAATCTGCTGTGTTGCTTCTGCTGTTTCTAACAGTTGAGGATTTGTTCTGCAGGAAGCTACCGATCGATTCCGAACCCGCGGTGGAGCATTTGTCCCACAGCCTCAGTGGTGAAGTTTTCTGTGTTCAAACCTCCAGCAGCTGCTGAAGCGAGGCTGGTAAACCGGTGTGAAGGTTCTGCCGCTCGGCTAGTTCTCAGTCAGGTGTTGCTGTCAGATACTGACAGAACGTGTCTGTCGTGTTTTCATCATCTTAACACTTGTTGGACCAGCTAACCAACCTAGTCTAGTCTAGTCAACCAAGTTAGCTAGGCGGCTACAAATGTGAGTTAGCAAAGTGCTACCAGTGTGATGACAGGGTTAGTAGCTGCAGGATTAGCTGAACAACATGAGAGAGTAGTGTTGGTTAATAGTCCCACTGTTGTTGGGGGAGGACAAAGATCTGACGTGTTGCAGAACGAGCTCAGGCTGTCAAACTGTGTCCCCTCACCTGCTACTTATTTGAGTAGAGGGGACAGTGAGATTCCACCGGGGTCTTTAATCACTAGGTTTGTTTTCATTTAAAGGTCTGCTGTTTCACCACGGGCTGAGGGACTCCAGTGGTGGGAATGTCAGGGTTAAGTGTGTGGATGTGGTGGGGGGAGGGTGTCCTCCACGCTGTCCTCTCTGAACTTTGCTCTGACACATGGCCACGTCTATTTTTCTCTCTGTGCAGACCCACACAGTACAACACAATGGATTGAACAAGGCCATTCAGATCAGACTTTGGTTTGTGCCACTGCCCCCAACCCTCCGGCCTGTTTCACGCTCTTTGTCCAACTGTTGATGTGCTCTTGCGTAATATTGCAGTCGTATAGTAACTGGCTACAGTGGAGCCTGAAATAACATGTTGCGCCAGCATTTCCTCTGCCATACATAGTTTTACATAAGTTGGGCTTTAGTCAGCCACTGGGAACGCACTGGGTGGAACTTGGCCAAATTGGCATTTTCAAAATAAAAAAAAAATTGTCATGGGGCAATACTAGCCACAGAGCAGTTTCAAAATAAGCCTGCAAGTTTCTACATCGCAGTGAATCAGATCATTTGTCTGAGCAGCTTTATTTCTTTGAAAACGTTTTGTTGTACAGAAATGTCCTGGAAGACAAAATAAACCGTTCCCCGATAATTTTGGCCTTAAACCCCTTTGAAAGGAGTAAAAGATCTGCATACCGAAGAGTTCCCATTAAAAAAAGGATTTTATATCATACAATCCATTTTTTTTAAACCTCTGTTTTACCAGATCTTTTAGGTGCGTGGATCTTCTCAGGCAACTTTCAATAATGTGACTCATTGATTGGTCGTGAGTATTTGGACAACAAAATGGATCTCTGGCACAGATTGATAAACAGAATTCCTCTTTTATTACAGCTACAATACTCAAATCATTATTTATTTATCCTTTAAAGTAACCAACAGGACCAGATGGGGACCTGAGTGTTACTTATTATATATTGACCCACATATATAAGTCACTGTGGTTCATGAGAATATCCACTCACCTTTAGTTCCTTGTTTGTTAGTGGAAGGACAAAGTAGAAAGGTCTTGCTCCACTCATCCAGCCAGAAACAGCTGATTCAAACGTTGGGCTCTTTTACTCCTCAGTCATTTTATTATCACAATCACACTCTCACTGGAAATAATCATAACTATGAACTATTGCATCACAATTCTGACAAATGTTTTCATAATTAAGCATTTTAAAGTAAGTATTTATGTTTCAGGTGTTAACTACAAATACTAATCAACAAGTTCTGCCTTCTGCTCTTTGTGAGTATTTCATCCCAAAGGTGGAGCTCACCTGAGAGCAGAGCCTGCACCAGAGGCACCTCCACAGAGGGTCCTGCAGGCAGACTGCTGTAGAGACGCCATGATGAGATTAGCGTAGATCTAAAGGGGGTGGGACACTGAGTGAGCAGGGGCTGCCCTAGGATTTTGTTGGCCCAAAACAAGATTTTTTTCTGTGGCCCCAAAAGGCACACACACAAAATTAAATAGCTAGCAAACACATAAAGCTAACCTTTAAAAATTCTATATCATGCTTGCAATCCTACTCATGTGAGCTAGCAAAACATTAGCAAGAAAGCTATCTTGTTCCACTTAAAGAGTTACCACAAAAAAATAAAAATGAAAAATAAGTTGCACTCTTCATCTCGTGCTGATCTCATTAAGATGGTGGTGCAACACAACAAAACATCAATACATGAGAAGCAGGTGAGGAGCGAAAACGGAATTAAGTCACAAGTAACAGTGGACATGTGGTCCACCCCTCCAGCACCCTTAACAACTGCTGAGTGTTAATGAGCGCGATTGTTGTATGATCCCACGAGATGGAGAATGTAAGTTGTTTTGACAAACTGTTAAGTTATGCAGAAGTTGTGTAGCTAGACACTGCACGGTAGAAAAATAGAAGGCGCCGCTGCACTGATTACAAAACAACTGATTGTTTGTAGACTGTCATAAATAGTTTTTTACTGGCGCTTCAGTCTCTTTACTGGCTCACTGGTCAAATACAATCAAGTTAATATGTGTGAATATCCACAATTAATGCATGAGTCAAATTGTGAACAAGTCAAACTGAACAAAATGATCCTCTCTTATTTAAGAATAGTGGTTTGGTCACTAAGTTTATTCTTCCTGTAGTCCTACACAGACGTTCTCTTTCTCCTTGAGATGCCAGATTTGCACCAACACACACTACTCATGCGCACCAGTGGCCCTAATGTGTTGGAATGTGTGTCTGCCATGTGTTTTTACCACAAGGAGTGGTTAATATGCTGAGGTGTCAACAGAAGCTCAGTTAGATGATATGAATGCACATACTGTAACAGCATGTTTCCCCCTCTGTCTGTTTCTCCTGCAGGATATCCCTGTGCCCTGGTGTACCGGCGGTTCCTGTTCTACCAGTCTTCCACAGTTATTAATTTATTCCACACATTCTCTGGACTGGCTCTAGCAGCTTTCAACTTCGGTGAGATAAAGGAGATGTATTTGTGTTGTCTTGATGGAAAGTCATTCACCTCTAAATCAAAAAGTTGTTTTCATATACCTTACCACATTTAAATAGTTGAGTTAAGATATGTGTCAGGGCTTCTTTAAAACAGCCATGGGGGATTTTTTGTAAAGAAGTTACACTTTTAAATGAAGGTCAACCAAAGGCATTAAATACACGTCTTTCTTCATAAAACAGTTGCATAGCTATTTTTGAAAAATTCCATTTTACTTGCTATCAGTGGTCTTCTTCTCTCCAGCCTTTAATGGTGCATTGCTGTTATTCTGATATATGTGCATATGCTGAACTAAATGGGGAGCTGCTAATAAAAAAGCTTCTCCATAGTACTATTAGTGGTCAGAACAACCATAGGGTACCTTAAAATTTAAAGGTCATACATTGTGTGTGAGCAGCAGCTACAAACTCTGAAGCAATTAAATCCAAGCCCAGTCGTTTGACCCACGAGAGGTGAGATAAAATCATAGTCACAATTCTTGGCCTTTCTGAGTCAAGTCCAAGTCCTAAACTTTTTGTTTTGAATCCTAAAAAATAATTTCATGCCATTCACTAAAATGTTGACGGTGTCAGTATGTAACATTTAAAGAAACAAGTACAACTGAAAAGGTAAAAAACTAACTGTCAAATACGCCTGCCAGACCTTTTGTGCTGCCAGAATATGTTTGGCTGCTGTCAAACTGATCAAGAGTAACTTGGTTGAAGAAAATGAAGAGTTGATTCTCTTCTCACATATTTACTCCATAAGCATTTCTTAAAATGTGTTAAGTCTTAAGTCATCAGCCTCATTAAATAACTAATATATATATAACACGTGAATATAATTGCATGTGTCTGCCTTAACAGAAAGCACATTAACTCCTTTCAGTTTGAAACACAAAGGCTTAGGGATGTGTTGTTGGAGATCAAGTTATATCATTTGCATATGGATGAATCATCAACTATTGTTGGGACATTTCTTGGTGGGTGAGGAAGTAAATGTGTTGCTCTTCAGCAGGCGGAAAGACAGGTTTGACTACAGGAGGTTTAGATCTTAACTTTATGCATGAAACCCACTTCCTCTGAAACTCAACCACATCGAGTACATCAACGACTGCAACTAATGATTATTTAATCTTCCAGTTCTTTTCTTGCTTAATTCATGAGTCGTTTGATGCATGAAATGTTGGACAACTTGTCTTAAAGTTTCCAGAGCCTGAGTTTTTTTATTTTATCTAAAGAATAGTTAGAAATCTGAATGATCAATATTTAATAACTAACTAATCACAAACGGTTGTAATTTTCCACAAAAATACCAATTACATAACTTTTTTCCTCTTTTTGCTCTTTGCCGTCTCTGATAGTAAACTCAGCATCTGTTTTAATGGTTTTGAATAAAACTAGAATTCTTAATAGACTTCATTGGGCTGTGATAAAAGTCTTTTTTATTATTATCTGATATTTCATGGAAAAATTATTAATCAATTAATCTGTCAATTATTGTCAAAGTTGATCAATAAATGTAGTTATAAGTTGCGGTCCCAATTAAATTTACTCAAAGAAAGATAAGAAACCAACAAAGATTTACATTTAAGAAGCTGCAACCATTTAATTTTTGGTGTTTTTTTTCTTATAACATGATATTGGTTATCAAAATAGTTTCTGTTTTATTTTCCATCGTGACAGCAATGGTAAGGATGAGAGGATGAATGGATGGAGCTTCGTCATGGAGCAGAGTGGCATGCTGGACTGAACACAAACTGCTAACATTGATTTCTTTCTCTTTTCTTTATTATGTTGTGGCTGCATTTGGATTTTACAGCAGGTCTGTTGCTTTATCTTTCTCCTTGTGGAATACTGTTTGCTCCAGCCGTTTTTTGAAAGCTCAATTCAAGTCAGATGTTTATCATGTCTCTGCTTTGCCGTCGTCTCACCGTGTCTGCCAATACTGAACTGGGAAGGAGGAAGAAAAGTGCTGTTGTCATTTTCAGTCCTACAGGTCACACTTGACTGCACTCACCATCTTCCCCAGCCCCTCACCCCCCTCTCTGTCCATCTCTTTCCCAGGCTCTCAGATTTATCACTCCGCAGTATGCGTCCTTGTCCAATTCCTGATGCTGAGACTCATGGGAAGAACAGTAACAACTGTCCTGAGCAGCTTTACCTTTCAAATGGTGAGGTGTCCTGGTGTCTCTTTTTCTCTCTCTGCATTTCCATGCACCCAGGCTTACTTTGTAGCAATAGCTCCTTGATTGTGCACTGCTAGACTTTTGCCGCAGTGGCTCGGGTACTTCCAGCCAGAAAGTCTGCACCGTCTTAAATCTTATTTCCTTGTTGATGCCTAAACACTGATATCAAGTGTTTAAACAGACATCTGCCCGCTCCACACCTCTGCACACCTCCTAGGAATTGTCATGATGATTTTTTGTTTTGATTCTTTTCTTCTTAAGTTTTCTGTTACTTATAACAGTGATACACTTCTACTTATATATCCAATGAGGCTGACCTTTGCCACCTGGACGTTTTTAATATTTGTCTTCATTTTTGTTTTCTGTCTTCTCTTCCTGTAGGTCTACCTGCTGGCAGGTTATTACTACACAGCAACAGAAGAGTATGACATCAAGTGGACCATGCCTCATTGTGTCCTCATGCTGAAACTCGTCGGTGAGTTGACTCTAGCTCTCCTCCCACTGCTCTGCTTGTCAAAACCAATTGTTTCTTAGTTAAAAGTAGATATTTTCTCATTGTATAGAATTTGTTATCTTTCTATTGTTTTTGCTGCACCCCCCCCCCTGTTCTCCAGTGAATGATTAACATATTGATAAACTGCTGACAGGACATCTGCATGCTTTAAGTGTTTATTTAAATGATCATGGCAGCATTAATCTTCCTAACATAGTTTCTGACACCACTTGCATTTTCTGATTACAGGGTTGTCATTTGATTTCTATGACGGTGGAAAGGAACCAGTGAGTTGGTTGATCTTTTTTCGCTTTTGCTTGCTCTAATGTTGGTCAATGTATCCATGTTGTCTGTCTGGGTTTGAGTTTTGCTCACATTTAATCTCAGTTTGTTATTTCTGGCTCCTCTTTTATCCTGTTGTATGTTTAAGATGGGTTTTGATAGAAAAAACATTCAATCAATTAATGATCACTGTGTGCCGCACGAAGCGGCTACAGTCAGTGACTAAATACAAACAAGTTACCTGAGCGAAGAATTAATTCACAAATAAATCTAAAAAATATGTAAGGGTGTCAATAACTTGAAAACCATACAAGATGCAGGGCTGTGCCAAAACATTGTTATCACTTTTTATGAATGAAACAGTTATTTTCCCCCCAAAATTATATTTTCTTAACAAAATTGTACAGACTATAAATATTACTATAAAATATTAAAATAGTAGAAATTCTTTGTTTTTGTGCGATCACCAGTTCAAAACTCAACAATATTAAGTTCACTCCCATAGAAAACAAAGAAAAGCAGCAAATCTTCACATTTGAGAAGCTGGAACCAGGTAATTTAGAAAAAAACTTACAGCCACACTGTATGTTCAGATAGTTGTGTAGGAAACTAAGTACATAGGTATGTTTCCATGCCAACATAGCTATTCAATACATTTACCACAAAGCAGCTTTTTGTTTGCTTCAACACAAAACATCATGTATAAGTCACCACAAGGTCTCTCAAGCAAGCAAATACTTTGTAACAAAGCAATCAAAAGTCACTTACAGTTCAGGAGAGTGCATGAATACAGCAGGGAAGCTCAAAAAGAGAAATGGACACACATCCACGCAACCATCACAACTAACTGAAAACCGGACCACTATGGAATCCAAAGCGGCAGTGAAAAAGCAGCAACATCACAAAAGGGCTTTTTGCAAGAGAAGCGCTGCAGTGATCTTCTCCTTTTTCACTCAGTTCAGGCTCTTTGTGTTTGCCTGCTAAAGCCCAAGAGAGGAGAAGTCGACATGATTTAGAACAGCAGGGAAGAAAAGTGGGACGAAACAAAGGACAAGGACATGCTAGCAAATGTATAACATAATGGGTGGTAAGGATAAAATCATCCCTCACAATATACACAATTACACGTTTTACAAGTACAACGTTGTGATACAGAAAATTTAAATGGAAATTAAACTGAGAATCTGTAACCAGATACCTTAGAGTCTGGCTTGTTCATTTGTAACATCACCCACAACAGTAGAGATCCACCAAAGGTGTCATATAGATATCTAGGTCAGTGTTAACAGAACAGCCTCGCTTCATAGAGTCATCCCATAATAAACCATGTATCAGCTCCGTTAAGGTCTTTCAGTGATGTGCTCTTCTTTCACCCAGTTTAGTTTGGTTTTCAGCAGTAGTTTGGTTTCAAACACATCTGTGGAAGCTGTCCCCTCCTGTTGCTTTATTTTATTCTTATTTTAATCAGTATTATTCAGTGCTTTTCATTCTCGGCACATACTGTACCTCCACCAAGGCCCACCAGTCCCCTCATTGCAGGCCACATTGCAGTTCTCAGCTATGCACGTGGGGTAGTTACAGGTTTCTTCTCCCTTTGTTACCATTCAGTGCCTGAAAAAAGCTGACACACCCAACCATACTGCACACACTCATAAATCTGTTTTATCAAGATCCACGAATTACTTTTTGAGAAATCAATGGAAATGTTGAAAAGCACCGTTCAATTCCCCGATCTGGTCCCTGATTTGGATCTGCACCAAAATCTAATGGGTTCTTCTCTGACCCATACCGGAGCCTTCCACCAAGTTTCCTGGTAATCCATCCAGGAGTTTTTGTGCAATCCTGCTAAATAACACACAGAAGAACAAACGCAGTTGAAAATGAAATGGAGGTAATAAAGGCCATGGGTCACTCCCCTCAGGTTACAGCCTGCAGTAAAATACCAGCTAATGAGTATTTAGTGCAGTCATGTTTAGTTTGCAGCCACTGTAGATAGTGGTCAAACATTTTGTAACTAGATCCATATTTAGCAAGTCAGTGGGCTTTTAAAATATCTTCCCTTCTCCAGTTTCTGTTCCCTTCCTCCTCTCATACCATCTTGCAATCTCTCCTCTTCCTGTTCTTCTGATCTTCTTTGTGTTTCATCTTCTTTCTCCTCTCACTTCCCTAAATCCCAGTCCCAGCTGAGTGAAGAGCAGAAGAAATCAGCCCTGCCGTCTGTGCCCTCGCTGCTCGAGGTGTGCGGCTTTTCCTACTTCTATGGAGGCTTCCTGGTGGGGCCCCAGTTCACGCTGCGAAGCTACCAGAGGCTGGTGGCGGGGGAGCTCACCGACTGCCCCGGAAAACCTCCCAACAGGTAAAAGTGAGAAAACTATGAGCGATGAAAAGAAAAATGAGCTGAAAACATATCTTTATTACGCCTCTGTAAAAAAATAAAGGCACAGTGTCACAACTTTGCAGTTAACCTCATTATTACCTTCTCTTCTCCCAGCCTCATCCATCTCTTTCTTTATCTTTCAGTGTTATACCGGCTATGAAGAGGTTTGCTCTGGGTTTTGTCTGCTTGGTGATTTATACAATATTTAGTCCCTATTACCCAGACAGCTATTATTTAACAGATGAATATGAGGTGAGAAAGACACAATCACTGAGTAGTCATACATCTGTCAATGCACGACAAGTCAAAGCATCAGTGCATCTTTTTTCATCTTTGTCTAAAATGTAAAACTATTTCATTTCCACAGGCTCAGCCCTTCTGGTACCGCTGTGTGTTTATTCTGCTTTGGGCTAAAGTCATCTTGTATAAATACGTCAGCTGCTGGGTCATAGCAGTAAGTAGTCTCATGAAAAGACACCGTGTGTATGAAATGCATTTAATAAAGTTATGTCTTGATGGCAAACAGCTATTGATTAGGTGCCTGAACTTATTAGCTTTATTTTTTTGAAACTGTATTAACAATAAAACTACCACCCTTCACATATCTTTACACTCCCTCATATGTGCTGATGATTACACACAAACATCAACAACATGTACAGTTATAGTTTATCTGCTTCGTGGTGTGATATGACTCCAGCAAATGAAAATATGTCATTTGCATGTTTACAGGAGGGCATCTGTATCCTCTCTGGCCTCGGCTACAATGGTGTTGTGGAGGGTCAGCACCAGTGGGACGCCTGTGCCAACATGAAGGTGTGGCTCTTTGAAACCACGCCGCTTTTCGGAGGAACCATCGCTTCCTTCAACATCAACACAAACGCTTGGGCTGCCAGGTCAGTGTGGAGCTGGAAATCCGTGAGGTTATCTTAACCTGGATCCAAAGCATTGATATTAAAGTGAAATATTTACTTGGACAAGAACAATGAGGTAGAAGGCAGGACAATTCAATCAATACAGGGAGGGTGCGGACATCCTGGGAGGGGTGTAAAGGTTTTGCAGCTTTCAGACGCTTACAGTCTCTTACAGTTTTCCAGCAGCAGCTTCATGCATGAAATTCTTTGCATATGTGGCAGCGTTTTATGGTTACCGCAGTGAGCAAAGCAATTTATTTAACACATAGTTTATTACATGGTCCATTTCTTTTGAATGCATTAGCTACTTAAGATTACTTTTAGTTTCTACTCTGCAGAACTGCATGAGACACAGAGGATGGCGAAGTGGGAATTGGTTTTAAAATGGAACTAAAAGTAGCTAAGATGTAGAATCTCAACAGGTAACTATTACAGGATATCAGACTTTAGTTAAGGATGATTTTAAACTGTATGGCTGGTCACTGGAGAGCTTTCTGGCCTTAGGCAGATATTAAAATGTTCTCAATGTTTGACCTACGAAGAAGAGTCTATTTATAGTCACATTTGTGCCACTTCTGAGTTACAGTTCTCTTGGCACACATTTAAGCAGTTTAGTAATAAACAGGTCCAAGTAATGCTATTTAAGATGTATACTGTCTTCATGAAACCTTCCCCTATGAAGGGTTAGATTGAAGATTGAATTTCTTAAGGCTCAGTCTGTTTCAAACTGTCCTGAACGCAAGAACTGTCAGAAGTAGTTTGAATTAAAAACAGAAGAAAATCCTCCCTACTTTCTAATCTCTGCACAGCTGGAGCTGAATTTCCCAAACATTCTGAGAAAACTCCTGGAAGGCTCGGAACTTAGCCTAAACGTTTTTAAGGAATCGGATCTTAGTTGTCTGTACGTAATCTGTTTGACGTTAAAATGGAGAAATGACTCCGTTTCTGTGATTGTCTAAGCAACTGCACTGGCGTGTTTGCTAAATCTACCATAAATCAGCAAATGGTGATGGAAGCAAGTAAGTGAACCAGAAAACCAGTGTTCACTATTAACTCAATTAGTCGAAGAGCGTGAAACCATTTAATGATGAAACTTCGGCCCCAGTGTTACAGCTCAGGCCAAGAGGCAGAAGTGCTTTTCTTGCGGTTGCGTTTACCAGTGAGGAGAGCATAAAGCAGTGGTAGCCATGTGTTCCAGTGTAAAATGAAAAGGAGAGATTGCAGCTCACTAAAAGATTTCTTCATGCACATGTAAAACTCACTTACCTCATTAGTTCTCTTAAGATCGAAGTTGCTTTGGGATAACTTTTAGATTTACAGGAATCTGAATTCTAAAGTGATTTTCTTAGTAAACAACAGGATGATCTCAGCCCATAGGAAGTCCACTGTGCCAGTAAACAACTAACCTTTGAATAATGATGATAATAATAATCTTGGTTCAACTTGACCCTGAAAGTTGAGAGCTTTCCCATCTTCCTCTGCTAATGAACACATTCCCGAAACTTTCCTGGCACATTCCTTACCCTGTTATTGTCCCTGGAGTGAGGACCGTCTGTGTGACAGAGGAACCAGAGTACATGAGCATATTTGTATTTCCACATAATTTTTTATATATATATATATATATATATATATATAGTCATGGAGTCATTTCTCCATCTTAATGTCAAACAGATTACGTACAGACAACTAAGATCCGATTCCTTAAAAACGTTTAGGCTAAGTGATATATATATATATATATATATATATATATCACTGTGTACTGGTTGTAAAACATTCCAAGACTTAACTTCACCCCTTCAAGACTTGGAAAGTCCTTCACCTAGACTCCTAATATCATAGTCAATGACATTGTGTAATTTAGGTAGTGGGGGAACCAAATCAAGAATCTAAGTGGATAGAGATAGAGCTATAGTCCTTTTTGTCCGCAGTCAGTTCCTCACTCTCTACTTCCGCACCATTATCTACTTGGGCTGCTAAAGAGAATCCAGTCTGGGGTTGGAAACAGATCAGCAGAGTCATTTGTCACCTGTTCCTGTGAACATAAGGTGAACAAGTAAACATAGCTCTAAGAATTGTATTAGAAACTCTTCTTAGGAGGCTTCATGAACTAAGCCTCGGGTCTGTCCTTGTTTTAAAAGAGAGTGCCCTGTCGGACATTTGGTCTCACTAAGTTAGAAAGAAAAATCCTGATGGAAGCTTCACATTCTAACATCGCAAAAGTGAAAGGTGGGCGTACATGGGGCAGCTTAGATGTTTTTATAAACATACTGAGGACGGGATGAAGCTTTTATAAACAGTAGTTCTTCATGTACTTATTTATGTGACCCTGTACTACAAGGAAAAATCAAACACTGTTGAAAACATACTGTGCATCCTGTAGTCTGAGCCACTGTTGAATTATGAATACCCTTGTAGACATGTTAAGTTGAGGTGTTTTAATAGAACCTCAGTTGCTATGCAACAACGACATTCAGGTAAGTAAGTGTGACAGTAATAGTTGAATCATTGAGCATTTTCCCCCATGTCCAGATATTTAGTTGAAAAGAGACGTTCCAAATATCTTTTTTTTTTCCCTCCTTCCCTTTTTTTAAGACATGTCTTCAAGCGGTTAAAGTTCCTGGGAAATAAGACCCTGTCTCATGTGGCCACACTGTTGTTTCTGACGATTTGGCACGGCCTTCACTCCGGATACATCTTGTGCTTCTCCATGGAATTCTTCATCATCACTGTAGAGCGACAGGTATGGAGATGAGCGACCTAATTTTATTTACGTGCTGAGAACGCTTGGGTATTTATTTCAGCAGGATATTTGTGATTTAACAAAGAGACAACCTCTTGTTATTAAACAGCATAATACTATTGATCCAATGTACTGTTGAATGCACTAATTAAATATTGACTGCGGTCACAATTTGGCATCATTTTCTTGTGTTAATATAATTATTTTTATGTGTGTTTGTGTGTGTGTGTGTGTGTGTGTGTG